ACTCTGGCAACAACTCTTGTTGGGAGCTCTGCTGGAGAAGTGCAAGGTCCCCTTTCACATCATATCAGTAGATGAGCAGCAGAGAGCTCACCTACTGAATGCTGGGAGAGGCACTGGTGGAAGTCTTTTGATGGCTCCATTTGCCTCAGGATAGGGTTGCTCGAGGCTTTCAATCTAAAACTGAATGAGGTTGATGATAGTAGCGATGACGACTCTAGCTCTTCAGCTCTGAATGCACGCATATAGAAGAAAATGGCATAGACAGTGATTAGCCACAACAGTTTTTGTTCCATTGTGAAGATAAATTAAAACTTTGTAAGTGTAAACTTTGGACTAATTCATAGATATTATCCAGACCTGTGCTAAGTCAAGTGCCACTCTTTTCTTAACCTATGTGTTATATAATTTTAACATTAGCTTTAATAAATTTTTTATATCTCTTTTGAAGTACTGGTACATCAACAGAATTCATCATAGGGTCCTGAAGGTCAGCAAGGAAGGGATCAAAGTAAGCAAGCTTTTGAGAACCACATACTCTTCCCAACAAATCTTAATTCTAGACTGCCTACGGACCTACTTCATTGTTTCCACAGCCTGATGAAGAGAGTACTATGCTTATTATTTCCTTGAAAGGTCATTGTCAGCTTCAGAACTATTTGTTTGCTTGCCTTTATCATCTGTCTGCAGTTAGAATCAGGCTTTTGCCAATTCTGAGGTTGAGGTTTCTTTGCTAGTTGTCATGAATAAAAGAGGCAACATGCTCGACGGTGCCTTATGTGCTGGTTTCTGTGCCCCAGCAAGATGGCATAGCTGTGCTCATGCATTTCATTGGAAATCTAGCTCTTGTATTTCTGATCCTTACAGGAAATGTGACACTACCAGCACTGAGACCTTCTGCCGTGTATTAATATTATGTATTGCAAATGTAAGTAAACTGTGCTTTTTAAAAAGTATCTCCTGTTTTTGTTATATATGTAAGGACAGTTGCCTTCTCAAGCCACCAGACTGCAAGCAATCCCTTCTCATCCAGCTCCATGAGGGCTCCCACAGACAGCTCCCTACCTCACCCTCTTGAGGCTTTGAAGTGGAGAGGGAAACCAATGTACAAGCATAGTGCATCAGCTTGTACATGTTTCCTCCCCACATCAAAGCCTCAAGTCACTCCTCCTCCAGCTTCTTTAACACACACCCATGCAAACTTCTGGTATAGCCTACCCCAACTCCACACACTCACTTCTCATTGCTATTCCTCCCCCACATCCCCAATCCATGTCCATCCTATCACCTTACACTTTAACCCTAATCCATGTTCATCCTATTACTTTACGCTCCCATACAAACCCTGACACACTGCTTGTCACAATGCCAGACTTCCAAGCATATAGACTCAAAACTTTTTTTTTTTTTTTTTTGAAGTGACACCTTAGATTCTGGAGAACAATTCCACAGCAAGCTGTGGATTCATAGATTCCAAGGTCACAATGGACCATTGTGATCATATACTCTCACCTCCTGGATAACACAGACCAGAGAACTGCCCCAAAATAATTCTTAGATTCTACCATCACAGATGAGGCCCGGACTTATAAACTAACAACAGGTAGCCATCAAGGTTGCTATTGGTTCAAGAAAATGTGGGGTGGCCTCCCCTCCAATCGCAACAGCTTGCAAAGGCCATTAGTTTTATCTTAAAAATAAATGGAAAATACATATTTCTTGAAAACAAAACAAAATTCCAACTCCATAATTAAGGAGCCCATAATAACAAAATTAGTGTGTTTCAATGACAGATGGAAAAGAACCTTCAAGCATCTTCCCACCCCCTCTCAGCAGTGGTCCTGGATTTGTGCTTAGAAAAGTTTATTGATGCTGAAAGCATTTGTATTGACCTGCCACAAGTGTTTTCAGCCTTGAGAGGTAACGAGATGCTGGACCTTATTACACCATATCACATTGCTTGTTTTTTTTTCTGTTCTAACACTTGATATGGTTCTAGTAGCAGATAACTTACAAACACTACAGAGTGCAATTCCAAGCTTGCAGATGGTATAATGCTAGAAATTAATGCTTTAACAATGCAAGATGGCAGCTGCTAAAATACCCTCAGACTTTAAGGCCTTAACATTCAGCAAAATGCTTAAGCAGAAGCCCAACTGTAAGTGCAAATAGTCCCACCGAAGTGAAATTTAGACCTATGCTCGAGTACCTTGTTGCATTGTGGCCTATTTGAGGAAAAACTCAAAATGATATTCAGAATGATGTGATCTTAAATTGTAATATCTCCTGTGATACATTGGGTCCTTTGATGGACACCTAGCCAACCAGTTAGCCGTAAAATCCCGCTTGGTCTGTTCTCTGCCTGCTTTATCTGTAAAGGGTTAACAAGCCCACAGATAAAAGAAAAGGAGTGGGCACCTGACCAAAACAGCAAATGGGAAGGTAGAACTTTTTAAAATTGCGGAAAAAAAACTTTCCCTTTGTCCGGTGTTCTCTGGGCTGCAGGGATAGAGCAGCAATGCTATAAGCAGGAATGCTGTGTAAAGTTTGAACCAAGTATGAAAAATTATCTTCCATACCTAGAAGGAATCATTTGGATAGGAAACGTTCAGATAAATGAGATCAGGTTTATTCTTTATTTTGGCTTGTGGATCTCCTCTGTGCTAACCCCAGATGCTTTTGTTTGCTAGTAACTTTTAAGCTGAATCCCAAGAAGCTATTTTGGGTGCTTCATTTTTGGAAATTGCTCTTTTAAAATCTAGCAAAAGCCTAAGTTCCAGATGTATTTTCTTTCTTTTTGTTTTAATAAAATTTACCTTTTTAAAGAATGATTTGGATTTTTGTGTCCTAATAGATTTGTGCATATGCTGTTTGATTAGTTGGTGGCCACAGCTCATTTCCTTTTTTTTCTTTCTCAGCTCTTCCCGGGGGGTGGGGGGGGGGGGAAGGCAGGTGAAAGGGCTTGAGGGTACCCCAAGTGTTCCTTCCTGCGTCCAAGGGTTTTTTTTTGCATTTGGGTGGGGCAGCATTTACCAAGCCAAGGTCAGAGAGAAGCTGTAACCTTGGGAGTTTAATACAAGCCTGGAGTTGCAAGTATTAATTTTTAGAATCCTTGCGGGTCCCCACTTTCTGCACACGGAGTGACAGAGTGGGGATTCAACCTTGACATCTCCTGACTTGAATGGACTAGAAATGAAAGATTTTTACCACTGAAGGGACGGGTTTTTTTCTCACAGCTTGCCAATGGCATAAAATAGTCTTCATTTTTAGCCTCCTGAGTTGTAAGACATCAGACCTTAAAATGGTATTTATTAAAGCAGGTTCTGCAATGTGCCCTGAAATTCAGCCAACTGGGGCAAGCATGGAGGAACAGACAGCTGCTCCACTGAGAATCCTCGGCCTCTAGTAAACAAATTAACAAAATCAATCTCAACTTTTAGGTAAAACCCAAGGACAGAAATAAGTCTTTAAAAGCCCAATCTACCACTGGGATATTGAACTGTTATTCTGAACCATTACCTACATTGAGTCTCCATGAACCAGAGCTGAAAATGGTTTAAGTGTTAGTGTTACACAACTTGGTGCATAATGCAGTTTTACATCTGCCTCTGAAGCATCTGTTATCAGGCACTGTCAGAGACCACACTAGATGGAAGATGGACTGAAAAGGTGTTTCTGTTAAGGGACCTCCCAGGTTCCTCAGGGTTTGATATAAACAGTAATAACAAAATATGGAATAAGAATTATTAGAAGCAACTAGTTTTCACTTCTGAAAAGTGCCCCTTCCCTACAGTACTGTTCACTGGGGGAGCAGTGGGATTCTGACAGAGATAAAGGGAAAATGTGGCACTGACAGACCAAGTCTCTCACACCCCATCATTCACGGAGACACTCAGAAAACCATAAAGATTTCTACTTGCTAAGGATCTGCCACTTGAAGGCTTGGAACAACAGACCTGTGCATGGCTATCTGTGACTGTCACTGCAGGTACAACGCCACTGTAATCAGAGGTGTGATTGCAGCACACATAAACATATCCAAGCTAAATTTGATCTAGATAACACGGGTACCAATAGCAGTGATGCTGGGGAAGCATGTACTAGCTACCCAGCATCCCGTGAGAGCACGTATAGCCTGTGTGCTGCTGTGAGGATAAGACTCAGGCCTCCGCTAGGCTCCAGCTAATCCAGAAGCCAGGAACTGGTCTGGTGGCTCTCAGGGAGGTATATAACCTCACAGGAGGAAAATCAACTCAGTTATCCCAATGTCACTCCAGGGCTTAGAACTTTCTCCTGCCTGATGGTGGCAACAGACTCCCCAAGTCTCAACCTGCTCCAGCCTTGTTCCAAGCCCGCTCTGGACTTCTGATACTGGCTCTGACTACCACAGCTCCAACTGCTAGGCCTAACCATCCCCATAAAGGTTTCTGAGAGCTGTGGCTTCACTGCCATTGGTACCTATGCTAGCCAGAATAAAGCTAAATTGGGTACACCTACACGGGTGCTGCAATTACATCTGAAGCATAGACATGCATTATGACTGATAGTAGAATAAGTGAATGTGTCCGAGTGTCTCCCCAGCTTATTGCTCTCCCCTAATATCACAGTCCACCACGCAGCAGGAAGTAGGGCTAGTGACAGGGCACCAGCAGCAGCACCAAGGGTGGGAGTGCCCCATCTACTATCCCTACCCCCAAACTCTCCCACCAGCAGCTGCTGCTCAGAACTCAGCTCCAATTCCAGATCCAGAAACTGAGTGGTTGGGGCAGGTACCGACTCCTGAAACTAATCCAAAGTCACCAGTGAGTCCCAGCCAAGACAGGGCCACAGCCACCGGGGCGCTCATTTTGTCTCCATTGCAGAAGTGGCACATTTGCACACTGAGGTAGCCAACTTGTAATTCAGAAAGATGCTGTAAGCGGTACTTCGCCTGGCTCCCCCAAGGGGGGAAGAGACCCACGACACATCCCCACTAGGCTCTCACAGCGAGAGAAGATTCTTACTTTGATCTCACGTTGACGCTCTTGATGTACAAACACGGAAGTTCTGCAGTGAAGACTCAGCCCCAATAGGGTCAGGGGACAGAGCCCTGCGGGAACAGTCACAGCTGGACACCCAGCTACAATCACCTCATCCCACAGAGCCCCACAGGGACGGCCACAGCCAGAGACAAGGCTACAGAACCTTATCACACGGAGACACGCACAGCCAGGTACAGTTGGAGACACACACCCAGTGTGACCCAGCCCCGCAGGGACAGTCACAGCTGGACGAAAAGCTACAGCCACCTGGTCATGCAGTCAGACTGTCACAGCCGAATACAGTCAGACATGGACAGACACCGCTGGACACCAGTCTACGATTACCTCACCACACACAGCCAGGTACAATCAGACCCAGCTCCACAGGGACAGCCACGACCGGACACCAGGCTACAGCCACCTGGTCACCCAGGGACAGTCAGACACTCGCAGTCAGAGCCAGTCACGCTCCCCCCAGCCCAGCCCGGCCGAACCGTTACCTCTGGGGCCGGCCGCTCTCTCCTCGGCGGACTCGCACCTCCCGCTCTCTATGGTTCCCGTGGCCTAGCGCCGCCGGTCACGTGGTTTCCTCCTCGGACTGCTGGCGGGAGGCGGCGCGCGCGCAGGCTGTCAGGTACGGGGGCTAGGCCCGGACGTCGCGGGGAAAGGCTCCTTGGCGGTCCGAAGGGTGCGGTAAAATGCTGGGCCCCGCTGCCGCCCCTCACCCCCGGGGGAGCCGAGACCTCTAACACAACCCGGGACTAGGGGTGGGGGCGGGGCTGTGTTGCCACTGCTTATGCTTGGCGGTTGAGCATGCGCACTGACCGCGCTGAGGCCGCTACCCGGGAAGCTCGAGCCCCCTCCCTGAGTCGGGACGGGGGCAAAGAGGATGAGCGGGGGCGGATCCTGTGTAGAGGCTGCCCCTCCCCGCCGTCAGTGCGTCTCCATGGGAGCTGTGGGGGTGAAGCCCATTCCCTGGGCATCCAGGCTGCGCGCCGCCACCCACCGCTGCCCCAGGCTGGGGTCGCTCTCTGGCAGCCTGACCTCTAGCCACCGCCCTGCCCTGGCACCTGCTGCAAGGAACAGGGCTGTTTCATGTGTAAGCTGTGGGAAAGCAGCAGCCGGGCAGCTACGTGCATCTGCTCTGGCACAAACCTCCTAGTTCCATCTGTGCTTTAGTTTTAAATAAATAATGTTGGCTATGCCTGGCTGTCACACAACCCAGCCATCATCCTCTGGCAGATTGCTTGTAGGCATTGCAGCAGCGGTGTCTGGAGATAGTATTTGAAGGAGAGAGTAGTAATGCACTTCTCACACGCAACCCCTGAGATTACTATGGTTGATGAGGCTTGGAGAAGATTCTCCTTTTTCCTCTATTTTATTAGTCTCCTTCATTTGTGCCACTGCCTTTGACAGTATTTTGTGAAGGATCACTTTCATTGTCTTGATGGTGCACACCTCTCCCCACACTCTGCAAAAGGGTGTTTGCCAGTTATGGCAGCAGATCCATGATCGAAAGTAAACAGGCAACAAGCAGTAGGCAGGTATTTGTGTGCAGAGAGGAGTAGGCCATCCTAAAGATGGTTCTAAATATTTTTTGGGGGATGGTCACTATACCTGAAGCTGGATAAATGAAAACACGAGCAGAAATATCCTTAACTGTTTTTTTATAAAGGAATTTTAAATCTATTGGAGACACAATTTTAGATGGTACTCTGTCAGGAAACAAAATTTGTTTACAATAAGGTTTGACAGTGACCCTTTAAGGATGAGATTGTTATAGTGCAATTTTAAACCCCTTTTTGAATAGGGAAGGAAACTAAGTTTGTCACATGAACAAAAACTGAATTGGTAGAGAAAGAAATGTCGTATTCAAGCTTCTCACAGGGCAATACAAACAATAACTATGAAAACCAACTTGGCCATGCTGTACTGACTGTAAAAAAATATTAAGCTATTTAATAAAGGGATCAAGGCCAGAGCAAGCATAGAGTTAAGCTTAATCTTTTGGGGGGTCTGGATATCACAAACAACATCTGCTTTATATCACAGATCTATCTGTATGTGAATTGCACAAAGATGGACAGTGAGGTTCAGAGGGATGGAAGAATCCTGGATTTGATTGATGATGCATGGAGAGAAGATAAATTACCCTATGAGGATGTAGCAATACCATTGGTAGGTGAATACTATAGGCTGCTGATAAGCCGGATGTTTCTACCCTCTTTAACCTCTTAACAGAGGCATGGCATAGCAAATGTGTCTTACAGTTCTGCCAGTTGTACAAATGATGCTCCCACACCCCAGGGGCCAGCTTCCCATTTATTTTGTGGGGGATTTCGTCCTGCTGTCTCATATCTTTCAGTGGCTAGAAGAACAAGTGCTTCTCTCCCTGCAGTCAACTGCCTCTCTTTGGAAGGAGAAAATGCTTTCCCCTACTCCTGACCAGTTATCTATTTCTTTGGATGGTGGAATGCTTCTTCCCATTATCCCCTAATTGCCTGGCCTGGTCTACACTACGAGGTTAGGTCGAATTTACCCACGTTGGGTCAATTTTATAATGAATGCATCCACACAACCAACCCCATTCCGCCGACCTAAAGGGCTCTTAAAAAATCAACTACTGTACTCCTCCCTGACGAGGGGAGTAGCGCTAAAATCGACCTTCCTGGGTCTAATTTGGGGTAGCGTAGACACAGCGCTGTGCAATTCCGTAGTATTGGCCTCCAGGAGCTATCCCGGAGTACAGGGCAGACATAAGTGAAGCTTTTTCTCCCTGATACACTTCAGTTTGGCATGGCAGGTGATCAGCCAGGTGATAGCAGTATGCCGAGAGCTGGCTAGTCACATGATGCTGGCTACTCTTCATTTCCAGCTGCTAAAATGCCATTAAAATAAGACAAAATAGGTTAAATATTTTCCTATTACTTTTGCATGAAAGCAATTGCTGTAGTTGGTACAAGGATGGTATGTAATCATGAAGGTGTCTGTGATATGATCTCTATTAAAATGTATCCACACCAGGGGTACCCTCTAAGCTGTGTGCTTGGATACATCCGTTGTTGGCAGGTCTCTGCTCACAGAGGTACTGCTACATAGGGCAGATTTTCTTAGAGTTTCCACCCCCACCACCACCCCCTGTGCTTCTACTGCCACTAGTCCAGAGATGGGTGAAGGGGTCCCAATCTTCCCCAGCTACTTCTGGTATCACCGGTCTATGGGGCGGGGTTCCAGGACTCTCCTCTTCCTCAGCTCTTTCAAGTGCTATGCAGCCGGCTGGAGGGGAGGTGGGAGGACTCACAGTCTTCCCGGTCCCTCCTTCACTTCCACTACTGCAAGCCAAGGGAGGAAAAGGGATAACTCCTCCTAGGCTCATTCAGCAACTATTTTTGGTCTATCACAGACCACTTGATGGTACATCAGGATGTTCACAGCCCTTGTCCTTAGGCACAGACACAGTCTTGTCATTCATGGAAACCCCTCATTTAAACCCAGTAAGCCTTTAGATTGTAGTCCTTAATTAACTCATTAAAGGCCTTCCTGTGCCACTCTATTTTGATGGGCTCGAGGTTGCCTTTCATGTTGAGACACTTCCATCCAGCAGTGATTTTAGCTCGCTGAGTAAGTGTACTTCAGGCTCTTGTACCTACTCTTACCTTTTGCCAAGATTCTGTCTTAGGGCAGTGATGGGCTCCCAAATTGTAGGCCTCTCATGCTAGACTTCTTCCCTCCCACATCCATGTACCCAAAACCTGCAAGGCCTCTCTTCATTCTTTCAGTATGCAAAGTTCTTGAGGTTACTTGAAGGGAATTACTCTCTGTGTCAGTCCACCTGACTTTCTGGATTTGTTTGACATCACTGCTCCAGAGGGTATTGTCACTAAAGGACCATGCTGGGATAGCTGTCTGGTTACATTTTATGTTACTTTGAAGCTTGAAGCCTAAAGGCCCATCTCAGGGTCAGCTGGGTCACAGGTGAGGCAGCCTATGCCACCTGCCTTAGGACAGTCAGTGTCTGTTGCAGACATATGCATAGCAACTCACTATCTTCACTTAGTTCTGCTGTTTGTATTCAGGCTTTAGGAAAGAATCCTACCTCCATCTTGCCGATCTGTGATTATGTTTTTGAGACATGGAAGCCCAGACTCTCCAAGCTGTTAGAGTTTACTGGGATGTGCCTCATTAAACTGGCTAAATAGAGAAACAGCTTTGGTGCTGGCGTTTGTCTTCATCTTATTGTCGGTTCAGTAGATAGTTCATGGAATATCTTCCCTCCCCGCAAAAAGACCCCCCAAAAGTGACTATGTACTTTCAGAGATTGAGAATTGTGCATACAGACAGTATCTGCAGAGGAGGAAGAGTTACTTGCAGCATACTTCTGAGGTGTCCTGGTCCTGTGGGCACTCTTACGTAACAGTAGAGAGGGGCCTGGGTGTGGACCTGAAGGCCCTCTGAGGCCTCAGGAGGACTGAGCCATTGTCAGAGATTGGATGTTAGCAGGCTATAAAACTAGCATGGCTCTGTGGGGTATTCCTTCATTCAACAAAGTCAAGCAGGAGCTGACTTGAAAGTTGGTGTCGTTTAGAGTCATGGGCAGTACGAGACCCCACTTGAGTCCTGACCCACTTTGAACTTGAGTCCTGACCCACTACTTCTGCCTTTAGTGTCTGATCCAAAGCCCATTGAAAAGAATGAAAAGACTCCCAGTGACTTCAACAGGCTTTGGATCAGGACCAGTGAACAAAATCCTAGAGTTTGAGGAGTTCTGTTTGTCTCATGCTAGGAGTCCCAAGACCCAGGAGTGAGAATAACACATTCTCTAGCAATTGCATAGTTATAACAACACTTAGAGCAGGGGTCAGCAACCTTCCAGAAGTGGTGTGCCGAGTCTTCATTTATTCACTCTAATTTAAGGACTTTCTATAAGTCTATAATATATAAATAAACTATTGTTGTATGCAAAGTAAATAAGGTTTTTAAAATGTTTAAGAAGCTTCATTTAAAATTAAATTAAAATGCAGAGCCCCCTGGACCGGTGACCAGGACCCGGCAGTGTGAGTGCCACTGAAAATCAGCTTGCATGTTGCCTTGGCACGCATGCCATAGGTTGCCTACCCCTGACTTAGAGAATAAAGTTTAAAAGAAAAACAAAACAGTAAACCATTGCTCGTCCTGACAGCTTGTCTGTTCATCAGTTTTCTGTAACTAAAGCAAACTTTATAAGTGCTTTCCAGTTTTCTATCTGGCACTAACACTGCCTCACCTCCTTTAGGTCACTGACCTCAACTTCGAGACCGAGTGCTTATTTTGCTATTTTGTTACCTTCTGTAGGACAGTAAAGAGATAATTTGATAAAATGTCTTATTTAAAATTCTGAAATGGAATACCTATATATTTGGACTTCATTGCTGGAGAAAGATTGCAAACAAGCAATAGAATATTTGCACTGATATTTATGTATCTGATATTTACCAGACATTACAATCATTTATTTTGCTGCGTGTGTACTACTTGGGTCCACCAGCCGCCAAGATAGGAAACTAATTCACTTCTAAAACTAAGCACAGAATTCTTGTGGAAAATGGAATGCCCATATTTGGGCTTGATGATATTTTTAAGGGGAGCAGTATGTACAGTACATGTCCTTCTGATGCTCCATCCAGTCTTAGTTGTGGATCTGTGTATTTATCAGTATGAAGTGATACTAACCTGCTCCTGTTATGGTGCTTTGTAAGTATAGAATGCATTGTACCATTTTGTGTTCTCAGAATGAGCTTCCTGAACCAGAACAAGATAATGGCGGCACAACAGAGTCAGTAAAAGAACAAGAAATGAAATGGACAGACTTGGCTTTGCAATATCTGCATGAAAACGTTCCGCCAACAGGAAACTAGAGAATCAGTGTTATGTCATGGGATGGTTTCAATACAAGAAGATGTTTTCCAGCAGATCTTCACCATCTCCTGTCCAACTGCTTAAGAAGGAATCAAAACCTTTAAAAACCTTCTAGTCTCAAACAGAAGCAAAGGCCCTAAAAGGCCCTATGTAACCAATGTAAAATAACTGACATTCTAAAGCTGCGGGGAGGTAGCAGAGTGCTTTTTCACTTACACAAAAATATTTGGAGTCCTGTTGTGTTGACAACTTCTTTATAAGTTCATCTTAATTGTCTTTTGCATATGATCAAAGAGGTAGTTATCACTGCCTGAAAGCTGATCATTGATCTCAGAAGTGATTCAGTGAATATTTGTGGTCGCTTTGATGTTTTATAGACTCAAAGCTATTCTTATATGTTTTGGTGCTGCTGTTAGAGATCATGGTGCAAAACCTGAGCAATTATGAACCAACTTTTACTGCCTTTAACTTGTTTGTGACACAGGAAGGTTGTTTTGGGACTGAGAGAAAGATTAATTAACAGGGTCTGAAAGGGACTGAAATTTATCTGTAAACACAAATGAGCATGGGAAAGAAATTCTTTATACGGTAAGCAGTCTTGGAGTTTGCCTAGTCTGGTTGGAGCACATTCCCAACACAGACATCCTGTGGTATGTTTGCTAACCATACTGTAAAAGAGCACAATTTATATTAAAAGGCTTTGTTAGTGTTGACTCAAAGTAATTGCCCTTTTATGTATGTTCGTGAATTATGTGGAAAGTATTGCTGACCTCAATTCAATTCCCGTGAACAGGTGTCCACACCATTCTTGGCACCCTTATTAACAGTCTCAGGTAGGACTGTGAGTAAACTGTCATCTCAGCCATAGAGATGGTGCCTGCAGAAAAGGATGGAGACATGTTTATTTTAAAACGTGGTCATTGAGATAAGCAGCTGAAATGCCCATTGAAATCAATAAGAGTTGTAACTGCTTACTCCAGGGTTGAATTTGGCTCATCACGAGAATACCAGCCAACAATAGGCATACACTTAACATTAGCAGAAGTATGCCTAGCAATAGATACACACACAATTAAAACGGATATTACATACAAAAACTACATTAAGAGAATGGTTTCAGAGTAGCAGCCGTGTTAGTCTGTATCCGCAAAAAGAACAGGAGGACTTGTGGCTCCTTAGAGACGAACAAATTTATTTGAGCATAAGCTTTCGTGAGCTACAGCATGCATCCGATGAAGTGAGCTGTAGCTCACGAAAGCTTATGCTCAAATAAATTTGTTCGTCTCTAAGGAGCCACAAGTACTCCTTTTTATTAAGGGAATGTTATAGTTGCAAAGTCAAACGTGAAAGTTAGGAAATGCCAGAATAAAGGTTCCTTGTGTAACCTTAATTCTGCCCCCCTTTGCATACTTACTATGAATGGTGTGATTCTACTTTTTCTACAGGTCCCTGCATTATTCAGAACACAGAATCAACAGGGCACCAAGATTGAATTAGGGTTGTGCAGCTGACACTGCATTTGGGGCTTCATAGGAGACCTCATGACTGATGTTGTGCAGGAACTGCATGCATTGGCTACTCTGACAGTACAGTAATCTCTCCCCAACCACCTTTTATCCACCAATGGGGCTATGCTGGCAGGCCCTCTGGTGGAGGGGAATTTGTGGGTAACTTGTGCCATTGCAACTGCCTTCTAGATAGACTTCCCGCTTCTGGGCACAGTCTGTACCTGTGTAACCTAGGACTTACTCTAGCCCATAGTGTAATTTCTTCATATTTTGCTGTAGCAAATATACTCAGAGTCTTGGCCCTGCTGAAATGAAATATTTTCTCTTGGCTAGAAACTTTAACCTAATTTAAATATGAAGATGTAGGAAAGCCGAAATCTTTTTAGAAACAGCAGAATAATTATATGTAAAGATCAGGAAAACAAGAGCAACCAGATATGGATAGTGCTTGGTGCAGGGATTGTATTTTCATTGTCTGTGTGTATAGCACAGTGGGCCCCAATCATGTGAAGCCTCTAGGCACTCCTGCAGTACATATAATAGAAAAGTTTGATTAAAACAACACTGACAGCCACTGTAAACGTGTTATTACTTATTAGCTTTCCTTTCAGTATCAGTGATTATGATTTAAGTACATCACTGTGATTTAAGAAACAAGTTCAATCAAGCTACATTTAAACCAAGCTAGCCTCTTGAAATCCAGCAGGGGGAGAAGAAGGACCTTCCTTTGTAATGTCTGGACAGCATTCAACATGCTGTTCAGCTGATGCACTGGTTAACAGACTATAGCCAGTAGAGGGCACAGAAGCAGTGATTTGCTTATTTATCTCAAGACCTGACACTTATTTAAGGGTATGTCTACACTACAGAAATAGGTTGAATTTATAGAAGTCAATTTTTTAGGAAGTGATTTTATACAGTAGATTGTGTGTGACCCCACTAAGCACATTAAGTCAACGGAGTGCATCCACAGTACCAAGGCTAGCGTTGACTTTCGGAACATTGCACTGTGAGTAGCTATCCCACAGTTCCCGCAGTCTCCGCCACCCATTGGAATTCTGGGTTAAGCACCCAATGCCTGGTGGGGCAAAAACATTGTCGCAGGTGATTTTGGGTACATGTTGTCTGTCGCCGCTCCCTCCGTGAAAGCAACGGCAGACAATCGTTTCGCGCCTTTTTTCCGTGCGGACGCCATATTGCTTTCAGCAGACGGTGCAGTAGGACTGCTAACCATCGTCATCGAACCACCGCTTCCGCTGCAACTCTGCTCTCCTGGTGCCATGAATCCACCTCGCAGGTCCTCTATATGACAGTCGTCATCCACCACTTCCGCTGCAACTCTGCTCTCCTGCTCTTGTTTCTCCATACCATGGCAAGCATGCAGCCCGCTCAGCTCACCGACACCGCTGCTGTTGTGTCCTGGTGCTGCTGGCAACAGATGGTGCAGTAGGTCTCCAAAACTGGTCATCCAACCACCGCTTCCGCTGCAACTCTGCTGTCTTGATAGTGAATTTCTCCATGTTGGCTGTCATGGGCTCCCACTTCCGCTGCAACTCTGCTCTCCTGCTCTGATGAATCCACCTCACAGGTCCTCTCGTCTTTCTCTATAAATATTTGTTCTAGTGGCACCCATCATCAGCCACCGCTTCCGCTGCAACTCTGCTCTCCTGCAGATGCCATACCACGGCAAGCATGGAGCCCGCTCAGATCACCGTGGCAGTTATGAGCATTGTAAACACCTTGCACATTATCCTGTAGTATGTTTAGAACAAGAACCTGCAAAGGCAGGCGAGGAGGCGATGGCAGCGCGGTCACGAGAGTGATGAGGACATGGACATAGACTTCTCTCAAAGTATGGGCCCCGGCAGTTTGGACATCCTGGTGGCAATGGGGCAGGCTCATGCTGTCGAATGCTGATTCTGGGCCCACGAAACAAGCACAGACTGGTGGGATCACATAGTGTTGCAGGTCTGGGATGACTCCTAGGGGCTGCGAAATTTTTGCATACCTTAGGGCACTTTCATGGAATTTTGTGATTTGCTTTCCCCTGCCCTGAAGCACAAGAATACCAAGATGAGAGCAGCCCTCACAGTTCCCAAGCAAGTGGCGATAGCCCTCTGGAAGCTTGCAACGCCAGACAGCTACTGGTCAGTTGGGAATCAATTTGGAGTGGGCAAATCTACTGTGGGGCCTGCTATGATCCAAGCAGCCGACCAATCACTGAGCTGCTGCTATCAAGGGTTGTGACTCTGGGAAATGTGCAGGTCATAATGGATGGCTTTGCTGCAATGGGATTCCCTAAATGTGGTGGGGCGAAAGATGGAACGCATATCCCTACCTTGGGACCGGAGCACCAAGGCACCCAGTACATAAACCACAAGGGGTACTTTTCAAGGGTGCTGCAAGCACTGGTGGATCACAAGGGACGTTTCACCAACATCAACGTGGGATGGCTGGGAAAGGTACATGATACTCGCATCTTCAGGAACTCTGGTCTGTGGGAATGGCTGCAGCAAGGGACGTACTTTCCAGACCAGAAAATAACTGTTGGGGATGTTGAAATGCCTATAGTTATCCTTGGGGACCCAGCCTACTCCTTAATGCCATGGTTCATGAAGCCATACACAGGCACCCTGGACAGTAGCCAGGAGCTGTTCAACCATAGGCTGAGCAAGTGCAGAATGGTGGTAGAATGTGCATTTGGACGTTTAAAAGCGCGCTGGCACAGTTTACTGACTCAGTTAGACCTCAGCGAAACCAGTATTCCCATTGTTATTACTGCTTGCTGTGTGGTCCACAATATCTGTGAGAGTAAGGGGGAGATATTTATGGCGGGGTGGGGAGGGAGGTTGAGGCAAATCGCCTGGCTGCTGATTATGTGCAGCCAGACACCAGGGCGATTAGAAGAGCACAGGAGGGCGCGCTACGCATCAGAGAAGCTTTGAAAACCAGTTTCTTGGCTGACCAGGCCACGGTGTGACAGTTCTGTTTGGTTCTCCTTGATGAAAACCTGGCCCCTTGGTTCACCCTACTTCCCTGTAAGCCAACCGCCCTTCCCTCCCCCTTCGATCACCGCTTGCAGAGGCAATAAAGTCGTTGTTTCAAATTCATGCATTCTTTATTTTTTCATCACACAAATAGGGGGACAACTGCCAAGGTAGCCCAGGAGGGGTAGGGGAGGAGGGAAGCACCGAGTGGGGTGGTGGAGGAGGGGAGGAGGGAAGAACAAGGCCACACTGCACTTCAAAACTTATTGAATGCCAGCTTTCTGTTGCTTGGGCAGTCCTCTGGGGTGGAGTGGTTGGGTGCCCGGAGCTGCTCTTCCCCCCTCCCCCGCCCCACATTCTTGGGCATCTGGGTGAGGAGGCTATGGAACTTGGGGAGGAGGGTGGTTGGTTACATAGGGGCTGCAGCGGCGGTCTGTGCTTCTGCTGCCTTTCCTACAGCTGAACCATACGCCGGAGCATATCAGTTTGATCCTTGAGTAGCCTCAGCATTGCATCCTGCTTCCTCTCATCATGCTGCCACCACCTCTCCACTCGTGTGTCCCTCCTGTCCTCGCGTTCATTTTGTGCTTTCCTGGACTCTGACATTGCTTGCCTCCATGCATTTTGCTGAGCTCTTTCAGTGCGGGAAGACTGCATGAGCTCAGAGAACATTTCATCACGAGTGGGTTTTTTTCATCTTCTTATCTGTGCTAGCCTCTGGGACTGAGATGATAGGGGGAGCGTTGAAACATTTGCAGCTGCGGGAGGAAAACAAGAGAGAGTAGTATTTAAAAAGACACATTTTAAAGAACAATGGGTAGACTTTTTCACAGTGAACCAAGCTGTTAACATTATATAGTACATGTGCTTTCGGTTATATTGAGGGGCTGCTGGTTTGGTTTGAGAGATCACACACGCAGTGCCGGGCAACAGACTTTGGCTTGCAGGCAACCATTGTAAGCCACAGTCTTTTGGCTTCTTTAACCTTCATGACATGTGGGAATGGTTTCAAACAGCAGTGCCCTCATTTCCCATACCAAGCACCCGTTGGGTTGGCCATTTAAAATGGGTTGGCCATTTAAAAGGAGGGCCTGTGGTTTTCGGGTTAATGTGCAGCACAAACCCAGCTAAACCCCCCCACACACCCAATTCCCTGGGATGATCGCTTCACCCCTCCCCCCACCACGTGGCTAACAGTGGGGATGATTTCTGTTCAGCCACAGGCAAACAGCCCAGCAGGAATGGCCACCTCTGAATGGCCCCTTAATAAAATTCCCCTATTTCAACCAGGTGACCATGAATGATATCACTCTCCTGAGTATAACGCAGAGAGATAAAGAACGGATGTTGCTTGAATGCCAGCAAACACCAGGACCATACGCTGCCATGCTTTGTTATGCAATGATTCCAGACTATGTGCTACTGGCCTGGCGTGGTAAAGTGTCCTATCATGGAGGACAGAATAAGGCTGCCATCCCCAGAAACCTTTTGCAAAGGCTTTGGGAGTACCTCGAGGAGAGCTTCATGGAGATGTCCCTGGAGGATTTCCGCTCCATCCCCAGACACGTTAAAAGACTTTTCCAGTAGCTGTACTGGCCGCGAATGCATCCCAAGCCTTCAGGGCAAATTAATCATTAAACACGCTTGCTTTTAAACCATATATTATATTTACAAAGGTACACTCACCAGAGGTGCCTTCTCCACCTTCAAGGTCCGGGAGCCTGCTTTGGGAGGGTTCGAAGGGTATTGGATCCTGGGTGATAAACAGTTCCTGGCTGTCAGGGAGAACAGTTTCATCCTCCTCCTCCTCATCATCTTCCTCATCCCCTAAATCCTTATCCCTGTTGCTTGAGACTCCCCCCTTGCAGGAGTCCACGTGCAGGGGTGGGGCAGTGGTAGGGGCACCCCTTAGAATTGCATGCAGCTCATCATAGAAGTGGCATGTCTGGGGCTCTGACCCAGAGCGGCTGTTTGCCTCTCTGGTTCTCTGGTAGGCTTGCCTGAGCTCCTTAATTTTCACACGGCACTGCTGCCAGTCACTGTTATAGCCTCTGTCCTTCATGCCCTTGGAGATTTTTTCAAATATTTTGACATTTCATCTTTTGGAACGGAGTTCTGATAGCACGGATTCATCTCCCCATACAGCGATCAGATCCGATACCTCCCGTTCAGTCCATGCTGGAGCTCTTTTGCGTTTCTGGGACTCCATGGTCACCTCTGCTGATGAGCTCTGCATGGTCACCTGTGGCACGCTGGCCAAACAGGAAATGAAATTCAGAAGCCCCCGGGCTTTTCCTGTCTACCTGGCCAGTGCATCTGAATTGAGAGTGCTGTCCAGAGCAGTCACAATGGAGCATTCTGGGATAGCTCCCAGAGGCCAATACCGTCGAATTGCGTCCACACTAACCCAAATTCGACCCGGCGATGTTGATTTTAGCGCTAATCCCCTCATCGCGGAGGAGTACAGAAATCTATTTTAAGAGCCCTTTAAGTCAACAAAAATGGCTTCGTCCTGTGAATGGGTGCAGGGTTAAATCGATCTAACGCTACTAAATTCGACCTAAACTCGTAGTGTAGACCAGAGCTTAGACTCTATGGGTATGTTTAAACTGCACAAAAAAATCCAGTGGCAGCAAGTTTCAGAGCCCAGGTCAAACAGAAGTGTAGACATTCATGCTCAGGTTGGAGCCAGGGCTCAGAAACCTGCAGAGTGGTGTGGGTTTCAGAACCTGGGCTCCAGCCCGAGCAGAAACATCTGCTATTGTTAGCCCTGCAGCGCAAGCCCACATCAGTTGGCATGGGCTCTGAGACTCGCTGCCATGCAGGTTTTTTTGCAGTGTAGACATAGGAAAGGCTGAAACCTTCTAAGGGTTTTATGAGGCTTATGGCTTCTGAGACGCTTATTCAAATCAGTTATTCTGTCCTGTGATTTTTGCCCATATAGCACATTTGAAATGAATTCTTGTTAGTCATTTTTGCTAGGGAAACGAAGGGAGGCTCATGAGTCTTTTTAATATGGCTGCCTAAGCATGGATGTAAGCTTTCTCTGTTCCGCTCTGCCAAATCGAGCATCATCTGCTGCCCACCACTGTTTCTGTGCTGGCCTATCTTGAGCACAAATTGCTAATTGAGCGAATATACAGAAGTCTACAAAAATAAGTCTCCAAAAAAAGAATGGGTCCCAAGGCCACAATGCTAGTAAGGAAGGAAGGGTGGTCTGATGGCTAAGGCACTGCACTGGAACTCAGGAGATGTAGGTGTTCTACCACAGACTTCCTGTTTGCTATTCAGCAAATGTGCCTCGGTTTCCTTTCTATAAAATTGGGATGATAATACTTCCCTACCTCACAAGGCCATTGAGGGTAAATGTTTGATGAGGCATTTATACTATGGCAAAGAACTCTATGGGCAAATAAATGATACCAATAGGATTAATGCAGCTGGGAAACTGATCAGAAGTCAATATGAACTGGTTACTGATCTATACAGGCTAATGGATTGGTTCTAGATATGTGAATGCAACTAGTATGGATTCATCTGATCTGATACCATTAGCACTAAAACATCAATAACCATCTAAAAATGTATTAGAACCTTCATCCTCTTATTAGATTGAAAAAATATTTTTTTACTTAGAGTTAGCTTCAGAAGTCCTAGCCATACCTTACCTGAATACTCAAAACCCTTAATTTTAACTGTCTTATGTGCATAATTAAAGGTGAGTGGGGGGGGGGGTTATGAATAAATGTTAATCAGTTCGGTAGGGAAAAGCTGCATTACAGTACATATGAAAAAGCTTAATATAAAATATGTGCATTTCAATACTGCACTGTAATGCAGCGGGACTCACCACCACAGCGCCTCCTGCTCGCCGTGCTGGGAATTAGCTCTTGGTTGCCAGTGCACCTTCCTCTAGTGGTGTCTCACCGCCGTCACTTCTGCTCCACCTGTAAAAGCTGTGTCACTCCCTGAACCGCAGCATCCTCTTCTGGGCACAGCCCTGCAGCTGTGCCCCACTCCACTTTCTCCCCATTTCTGGGGGAACCAGCTGTCTCTAATCCATCCGCTTGCCACTGTGCCCTACTGCGGCCTTCGGTCTAGCCCCTCGCATTAAGGGGTAAACTGCAATTTGAATACAGGCCACCACCTCTGTTGCAAGTGGGGGGAAAAAAGGGATGGGGGAAGGCCCACCCACTACTCCAGGCCCCGACCCAGGGACCCTATAGCTGGCAGCCACGTGCTGCCAGTTCTCCAACTCCCGCCACCTGTTTTCCTGGGGCACTTTCCTGTAGCCCTAGCACCCTTTGTATCAGGGGCTTCAGCCTGGCAGTCCTCAGGCTGGAGTTCCCTATTGCTCTCCTGACCCTGCCCAGTATTGAGCTATCCAAGGTACTCCTCTAAGCCCTGGTCTACACTAGGACTTTAGGTCGAATTTAGCAGCATTAAATCGATGTAAACCTGCACCCGTCCACACGATGAAGCCCTTTATTTCAACTTAAAGGGCTCTTAAAATCGATTTCCTTACTCCACCCCTGACAAGTGGATTAGCGCTTAAATCGGCCTTGCCGGCTCGAATTTGGGATACTGTGGACACAATTCGGCGGTATTGGCCTCTGGGAGCTATCCCAGAGTGCTCCATTGTGACTGCTCTGGACAGCACTCTCAATTCAGATGCACTGGCCAGGTAGACAGGAAAAGAACCGCGAACTTTTGAATCTCATTTCCTGTTTGGCCAGCGTGGCAAGCTGCAGGTGACCATGCACAGCTCATCAGCAGAGGTGACCATGATGGAGTCCCAGAATCGCAAAAGAGCTCCAGCATGGACCGAACGGGAGGTACGGGATCTGATCGCTGTATGGGGAGAGGAATCCGTGCTATCAGAACTCCGTTCCAGTTTTCGAAATGCCAAAACCTTTGTCAAAATCTCCCAGGGCATGAAGGACAGAAGCCATAACAGGGACCCGAAGCAGTGCCGCGTGAAACTGAAGGAGCTGAGGCAAGCCTACCAGAAAACCAGAGGCGAACGGCCGCTCCGGGTCAGAGCCCCAAACATGCCGCTTCTATGATGAGCTGCATGCCATTTTAGGGGGTTCAGCCACCACTACCCCAGCCGTGTTGTTTGA